GGACAAGGGATATGAATCAATTACTGCAGTCAGTTATGAGCCGGCCACAGCTTTTCCTTCCAAACTCTGCTGAGAAAAAAACAATTGAACTCCAACATCTAACGCAAAAATATTGCTCCTCACAAAGCAGCCACTTATTTACCTTGTCTTAGCAAAAAAAGGAAGGAAAAAAGTTGTTGATACCCATATTGCCCCTGCTAGAAAATGAACACACAGATTCTAGCACAGAAGAATTTTATTTTCCATGTTTGCACGCTTTCCTTTTCTGCTAGGAACAAGGAAATGCAGCTACAAATGTAACATCTAATGAGAATTTCTAATCTCACTTTGCATATAAAAATCCCATCAGGTTTTGAAAAATCTCACCACAAACTGTAAATACCTGAATGAATTCCAGGGTTTAAATACAAACGTGTAGAAAAAAAGGAAAACAAAAAAATCATGGAAAACCCCCTGACCTTCTACACATAGATAGGATTCAGCTCTATGACAATCATATATTAGAAATGATTGGTTAAAGGAAAAAAAAAAAGATATTTTATCAGAAGAAATATTGACTGAAAACACATCTCAAAAAGTGGCCAACAAGGAGCTCTTTTGCCGTTATTTTTTTTTCAGAGTGGGCTTGAAAGTCAGCTACATCTACTCCAATCTGTACCCCCAGCTGGGATGTCGACTGCCCTTAGAAAAGCACGTGGGAACGGATATTCCTGCTCAAGCTCTGCGGTTGCTTCTTATGTCACTGATGGGTCTCTCTTACAGGAGCCAACATAATTTATATACCTTTCATCGCTTGTATGCAGTTCAGTCACTAAAAAGCACCCTGTTCGAGTTGATTCTTGGTGCCTGCCTTGAGCTCAGAAATCCTGAGCCATGGGGCCTGCTTGCTCCTTGCACTAAGCCCTTGTCTGCTGGCACTGGGCATCCCACTGGTAACGAAGTAAAAATGGTATTCCAGGGCAGAAAGCCCAGCAGCAAGTGGGATTTTTCTCAGCAGAAAGACCCCAACTGCAAAATAGTATCCAGGGAACGGTACGTAGAAGTAAAACTCTTGACGTGTGTTGCCTGCTTGCTCTCACTTCAGGCTGCTGATGTGGAGACACGCATTTTTCCCTCTGCTTTTCTCAGAGAGAAGCTGGAAGGTAAAGACTATGATGTGGTAAGAAATTACACTGCTGTGGCCTTATATGATTTTTTCGTGTAGCAAACTCTTATTTGATTTGCAGATGTTTCTTATATCCTCTCTGCTTCTACAGTAATTTTTTTTTTTTAAGATTTCAGTACAACAATGAGATTCCATTTTAGCAGAATGACTCTTGGCTTAGACAAGTGTCTCCATTTTCCAGTCCTGATCACAATCCACTTCTGCAGCAGTCAGAGACGATCTTATGGCCTACATGGAAAATATCAAGGTCCTTACTGATATCCCAAAGAATGTTTCACCAGCTAAGTTCTAAACTGTTGCTCTTGTTCCTCTTTCTCCAAGAAAATAAACTCTCCTTGAAGCTTTGTTGTCATCCAATAGCAACTAAATAGGATTAATTTCAGACGATATGAATGAAAGGCAACGTTAATTCAGAAGCAGCAAACCTGAACACGCTGTGTGAAATAAATGAAGACAAAGCAAGCAAGGTCAGCCTAGCTGGGAAACATAAAAGGCAGCCTCTTCTCTCAAAGCCTTTTGATCTGAATTTAACCTAAAATTGCACCCTCCTTCTCAGGCCTTAGTAAAATAGCTTTTAGACAACTACTAGGTTTCTGCGGAATCACATCATCTTAAATCTATCAGATGCCGGGACACTTCCAGCAGCGGAGCAGCCCAAGGAATGCTGTGAAGGCTGCTACTGACAGCAGCAGGGTTAGAGCAAGTGGGTCTTCTTCTCAAAGACTCCTGGAAAGCTCTCCCATAAAGATTTAGCCTTTGGTACACCACTTTGAATTAGGGTTTAAAAAGATTACACTGATAAAAATGCGATTACAGTTTTACTGCACCTAATCTTATTGCCTATATAACTGATTCTGGAATGTGCCGGGCTCAGTTCACACTTATCCTCCTTCTTCATTGCACTTGAGGTTTAATCTGTTCTTACACCAGTTACACAGTGGTACAAAATCATAAGCTAATGTAAATTTACTGTAGAATTACAGGTGTATAGATGAGATCAGCATCAGGTTTTCTAAATCCACGTTCTTGTTCCCCTGGTCCTCTCTAGGACATGTAAAAAAGGAAATTACGAAAAGCAAAGAAGGAATCAAAATATAAGCCACAACTTTAAACCATTAGACAGAAAAATTTCACAGGTTCGTTCAGGTGGCAGTTAGGCAATTTTGAAGCGATCCTGTAGGAGACTCCTCTGTTTAAAGTTCAAATGGGAAGATAGGAAGCAGCTGTATCCGCTCCGAAGGGACAGCAGGTACGGGGAGTTGATATAATACGGACCTGTCTGCACATCAGATGAGAAATTCTGAAGTGACAGAACTGGGTTGCAGCATTTCCAGTAAACAATTTTAGCAAGACTGTAAAATAGTCTTGAACGAGCTGATTATTCCCATCCCTGCTTAATGCCAGGGAAAGGTTGTGAGGATTTAACGAACAACGTAAGAAAGTAACATTCTTCCAAGAAAAACATTATGACCAGCAGGGCAGCCTGCTGTTGTAATCACATTTTTAAATGTTGAAAAAGCAAGACCCTGAAAAAACTGCCAGCTAAAAGAACTGGGCGTATTTTTGGTACATCAGGTTGGTGTTCATGTACACAACAGCGAGTGTAGTATGACCTAAGTTTTACAGAAACTGGTAGTATATTTTTGAATAGTTACCAGCTGATCAACAGCCTCTAAGATATGTTCCTTGTATAAAATCACCAGAATTGACTCTTTGGAGTCGCAGTATGGACCCAGTTTTCACAGAACTGCTTCCAACGAGATAAAAGTCTGCGGTGACTTTCTGAAGTCCCTTCTGAAAATTTTTTCATCGTTCTTTCAAGGTTCAAAACAGTTTCATTCTGTGTAGCAAAAGTGAAATATTTGCCCAACGCTTACTGATGTTTTTTCATCTCTTTCCACTATATTCTGCAAATATATCCTTGCGGCACGTCAGGGTGGCAGGCTGAAGCCCCCGAGCAGGGAACACAAGAGACTGTTACACTATGCTAACTCTACCACGCTGGTTATGAATGTTATTTTTCATGCAAAGCTACTGCGTTCATTTGGATACCTCTAAACAAGTGTGATCTCCCTAGCTAGGCTTTTACAGTCAGCAAACTAGGTTTATGAACTCTATAATCCTACACTGAAGGTAAGAGCTCAAGAGAGTGAATCAAATGAGAGAGAGGATGCCAAAACGGTATTAAAGGTAGAGGAGAAGGTGGCACATAAAACACCTTGAAGGGATTCATGAGCACCATATCTACTCTGCCTTGGGGTTTGCCGTGACTTTATGCCAGGTAACATTCCAGCCAAGTTGCATATAAATCCTACGTCAGTTTTAGACCGAATTTTGTTATAACAATAAAATCTCTTGTTCCCTGAATATCCTACCAAAGACAGGATAGACAAACAGCAGAAACAAAAACAGTTCAGTGTATTTTACTGATAAAATTTTCAGTTGTCTGCTTTATCAAAGAATTGGGACAGAGGGCCACAAGGAAAAATCAGTGTTGCACCTGTAATCCACTATTTTCTATGTTTGTGGCTGCTTTACTTTTTTTGACCTTTATATTCAGAACAACGCCCATTCAGAAAAAAAGTGCTTTTCCAGTCACACATTTGCTTGCTTACGAAGACACAGTTTCAGCAGAAGAGTCTGAGATGAGGAAATTCTTTTCTTTTCTGCAATTCTTTTCTTCAATAACCAGTGATGAATTTCATAAAATCCCATTACAGGGCTGACTGTCATGGTACAGAAAACGAATTAATTTCCTCTGATGAATTTGTCATCAGACAAATTACTGGGACCACTCTGTCATTTTTGCTTATACATCTTTGGAGCAGAGGCACAGAATAACAAAAGTTACTAGCATTTCTTTTGAAACAGCATTTTTTATCTGGTTTTGTTAGTAACCCAAAGACTTAGCAATGTCCTAGCACACCTGTCACGTAGCTGGTAATACCGCTAGACCAGCCCTCAACTACATAGAAGCATAAAGCCCACATGAGCAGATACAGGTGTGCTTCTGAAAGAGCCCTCACCTCCTCCTGCAGCTGAGTAAATATGAATTTAAATGCCCTAAACAAAGAGAATAAACACTGACTAATAAGAGGAGTGGCTCTAATTTTAGGCAGGTTTATGCACACAGTTTTTTAATAAACATGAATATATCCGTTGAATGTTATGTTTATCCCGGTTTCCCAAGGCAATGAGACTCCACGACTGTGCTATTCAGTGGCGGTTGCCAGCGCCCCGATCCCCCCGTCCTTCACTTCCAACCTGGCTTACAACGTCTGAAGCTGTTGGCCTTTCAGCTGAAGTTGGCAATGGGGGGGAAGAAATCTCCATGATATTAAAATGCTGCAATTTCAGTGAAAATGAGCAGCTGGAAGGAGCAGAGAGGCTCATGTTAGTATTTTCACTACGAGAAATACTGCAGCATGAGCTTGGCAGTTCTCTCTTCTGTATGACCTGGCAGCTGCCCCATAAGTACTCGTCTAATGGCAGAATAATGAGCCCTCCCATCAGCCACAACATGTGCTTTCTCCCAGCTGATTAAGTAGAGGAGAAAGGAGAAGAGCTGAAAATACAAAAAGAAGTTGAAGCAATATAGGGAGAACTAGAGGAGATGCAGGTATTTAAATGAAGGAGAATTTGAGGTTACTGGGAACAAAGCAGTAAGAGAAGCGCCTGCACACGCGCACACCTTAAGGCACCCTGACCCCATCAGTTCCGAGGCTCAAACCGCAATGTGATGTCACCGCTTGACATCAGAGCGTTACGCTGGTCCAAAACCTAATGGGAACATACCGTATTCTGGTGAGGTTTGCTTTTTACTTGGTCCGGGAATAAGCAACATTGGTATAAAGATGTTTTGTCCAGAATCGATCCAGAGAGGAAAGGGCTGTGCTACTTTGCTGAAAGGGCAATGTTTAAGACAATAAAGCTGTGTGTATGGGTAAGTCCTTTAGGTATCTAAATGAGCATTAGACATCGCTGTACGTATTTAGGTTGGCTTTAAAGATAATTATTTTATACATTACAAAACTAAAGAATTCTATCTAAATTAGAGTGCTAATGTTAGTAAGCACAGGTTAATGCTAAATATAAGCAAACACAAAAGCTTAGCAGCTGGGTTACTATGTCATCCTTTTGTATCCATCCCAGATCAGGGTACTGAAAAAAAAATGATAATAAATGGTATCGTCATTAAACATATTTAAGTAAATACATCTATAGCATTTTCCTTCACTTTTAGGTTTCAAAGCTATTGTAAATTAATCAAGTTTCACTAGTAACAGTCAGAAATCAGAACGGAGTCATTCCTATTCTGCAGAAAATGAAATAAACTGTAGAAATACATTCAGCTGGGTTCTGAAATATCAGCGAAGACCTATGAAGCACGTTGTGCTCCTAAGCAGCACACAGACCATGTGTTGACATTTACTTGTCAACTAACATGACTGAGGTTACAGTGAAAGTCTGCACAGAAGGTGGGAACAGAAACAAAACTTTCTGATTCATCCTTCTCCATTTGATGCCATAAAAACTATAATATTGCATCAGATCAACCGACTGTACATTAGCAAATTACAGCAGTAACAAAGAGAGAATAATCTTGTAGTTATGATACTGGACTTGGAATATTTTTGTCCAGCTCTTGGCTCTGCTACGACATCAAGCAAGTTACCTAGATTTTTCTCCTCAATTCACTTATCCGTAGAACAAGAGAATTTCCTTTTTTTATCTTGTCTGTTCATGGCCCAACAATTTTGGGAAACAGACTGTTTCTCATTATATATTTGCACAATACCTAGCACAGTGGCCCTTAGAATCAGGTGCACTCTTGGATGTCTACCTTAATGCAAACAATAATTGTTAATAATGCCTTTTTATCTAGAGCGTATTTTAGAATGTGTACAGGATGTTTGGCAACTGTTTTCACATTGCAGGTCTATACCAATGAGCTAATGTGGGAAAAATATGTCAGTGCAGCATTGAGAACTGACTTTAAAAACCCCCGCCTACCTGCACAGGTGTCTCCAGAGTGTAGATGTGTTCTCCGCGCACGTTGTAGAACTTGACAAGTGCGCTTTTCAACAGGGAACCGTTGCCAAGGTCAACCAGCTGGCTTTGCTTCTCCATGCCTGCTACTGCAAGTAGGTCTCCTTGTGTACACCACTGTACCACCACATCTGAAAGCGCAAAGACCGTTTGCAATAATCACTGATTAGAATCAGGAGGAACAGCGTTTCCAGATGCTGCAAAGTGACTTGAACAGCTATGTTATGCTCTGAACCGTTACTTAAGTACTTAGAAACCTAAATCCTTTCGTTGAAATAGCAGCAAATACACTGCGTATGCTCTTCTGAGAATGACTCTTTTTATTTTGTAATCCGCAAAAAATGTGTAAAAACCATTCATTTTTCTCTCTCTGTGGGGAGTTGAGAATGTAATCAGTGGCTGCTCCTAAGTACCTAAGGACAAGAATTTGTTAGCGATGCTAGAACTGATGTGGAAGATCCTACGCACATCTTTGGGGGCAGTAAGTGGAATCAAGTTAATACGCAAATAAATAGTATCACTAAGAGAGCAGCAGAGAGTATTTGTCTGGAAAGCCCTACAGTGCCAAAAAGCAGCATACCTGGCAATGCCTCATGTTCGCACTGGCTCTGAAGATAACCTTTAGCATAACTCAAACTAGAGTTATAGTTTAGTATAACGTCAAACTAGAAAGACTTTTGGAGTTTTGTCCATAAATACATATGGCCTCCATGCCACAGGTTTCCTTCCGACACCTGACTTGTGCGAATCTAACGCATCTGTCGGGCAGGAGTTTGCCAGAAGCACAGAGGGATTGCTTAGTCTCTCCTATACGTGGATATGAATATACATATCACTTACTTCTCCTACAGGCATCTCACGACGAGGAACACCCACAGCTTAATTTGGGGCTGCTGATTTCAAACCCTCATATCCTCCAGCTCTCTGTCACACTTCAAGAAGAGCACTAAACCAAGATTTTGTGTTTCTGCTTGTGTTTCAGAGGCAGATTTGCATGTGCAAGGAATACTGAGGTAGTCTTTAAACCTTTTTACTCTTAAACCAGAGGTGAAAGGCAGCTATTTTGTGCTGAGACAAAGTGAAGGTAAAGACAAAACTTCTGTGCTCTGGGATGCTCAATCTGCCAAGAACCTTTTGAAGGCATTTGTGGGCGAGAAGCTGTCTTCAAATGAAGAAGCAAGAGAGAAATGAGAGTTGGCAGGAAGGATCTCAAAATTGTTTCAAGTTGTCAACTTGTCATTTTCAGGGACTTTTATGTGCAATTTAAAATGGTTTTGTATTATTTCAACTTTCTGATATTTCTCATGGGAATTATGCTTCTGTACATATCAGAGGCAAGGTGCGTGTTCCTCAAGATAGGTTTTTTCCAGCTAGGCACCGTACGCCTCTTTTTTTCCTCTTAGCCCTCAGTCCTCCAAGTAAACTACAAAGGGATTTAATTCATCTTTCTCAGAGACTGTAACTATAGGCAGGTTAGAAATTAATGAGGCAACCTGATCAACTCCACTTTCGGTAACTGGATTAACTACACAAAACTACTTGGCAGCCACGACAGGGATGTATATCAGCAAACCTTGAACAGAGAGCGCTCTAAATGTGCAACAGCTCTGCAGGCAGTAGTTGTAGCCAACTAGTACAACTAGTTGAT